TGGACAAACAGGTAGGGTCCCCCCCGCCCCCTTTTCCCCCGGCTCTGTTCCATCGGTTCGCCCGTCTGCCCCAGTGCCCTCGCCCCCGCAGCCCGCTCCCCACAACGTCAACTGACAATATTTTCGATAAGAGGAAGTGTGTACTGTATTGACGCATCGCGGTGTTTTGGTGACGCGGAACCTCGCGGTTGTCCCCCGCAATAACCGTTTCCCGTGTTGTTGTAGAGCATTGCGAAGCTACAGGTGTACGTTTTGTTGGCGTGTTACAGGAGCGGCACGTCGTCGCTGCTGCAGCGGGACGGCGATGCGCCCTGGCCGAGGTCCGGCGCGTAACACAGTGAGTACTTACAATATCATCATGGAGGGAGGAGACGGAGTGCGTGCGGGCGTATGACTATATAGTCGATGTGCAGGACCCGATGAGTAACTTTAAATTTCAATTTCAAGAGCACAATTTTTTTCCAGTTTCTCATGATATTTTTCTTATTTCCTCTGATTTGATTTTCCTTGATTTTTCTTACTTATCCTGATTTTCTTGGAGGGTGTCCAATGATGATTGTGAGTGAAGTACGTACCGCTCGGAGTAACCCCCTGCACGGTGTTGGTCGCTCTCCCTTCCACGACCTGTGACCATATGATGTGACCCCATCATCACCACCTCCCTTCACGCGAAAGATGTAAGCGGGCGCGCTGCGCTCACACGACATTACGCTGCCGCTTTTGGTAAAGAGAACAAGAAGTGTGTGCAGCGGTGGAGCAGTCGAGTGTACAGTAAATGGACCGGAGCGGTGGCGGTGGGGCAGGGCGTCCAAGTGAATGGGACACACAGGCTGGGCCAGCGCCAGGCGGGCACCACGACCACCACGACGGGGACGCAGCGGTGCAGTACGTATACTACTTACTACTACACTGGCTGACCCCGCCGTGTGACACAAACCCGGGCCGCGTGTTTTCTGTTCCGCGCCACGGGCCACGGGTCGCGCTCAGAACACTTGCACACCGCAGCAGCAGCAGCGGGGTGCTCCATTTCTCCAATCACATGCACAATCCTTCGAGCGCTTCGCTCTGCCCCTTCATATATACTGCACCATCGCGGATGCATTCGCGCGAGACGCAAAGGGGCTCCGAATGAAACGGCGGCCCCCCCGCCACCGCCACACGGAGCGTGGAGAACTCGTGGAACCCCGCACCGCACCGCAGTCGGCCGAGTTATTTTCCGAAGAGACCCCTTCTTCTTTTGCTGCCTCTTCTCCTCCGGAGCTGGTTTGCTCTTTCCTATCGGCGGGATCCGGGTGAGAGGGAGAAAGAAAGGGTGCTAGAGAAGGGCGGGGGGTGGTGTGGGGAGGGGGAAGATATGAGACCTAGCCAAACATGGAAGAGGTCGCCTTGCGTCGCCTCGTCGCCTTCCTCCGGCGGCGGCGCAGCTTCACATTGTCCTCGCAATGCCTTCGGGAATGCATTGATGACGACGCCATGCACTATGCGGCGCCGGACGGTATATCGACGACGGCGTGAGCAAAGCCTTCGCTCGCTATGGCTGCCTGACATTGGATAATATCGAGCAGGACGTTTCTTTATCAGCACACGGGAGGTTTGTTTCCTCTCGTAGTACTGATGCGGGACGTAACGTATACAGGGTTGGGCTCCCCCACCCCCCAGCGACTTGCAGCAAGAGGAGGTGGTGTCACGGACGAAACGAGTCGCTTCTCTATGGTTCCGAACAACAGAACGGAGAGGGTGCGACGGCAGCTCGCACAGTCGCGTCGCCTGGACGACGCCGGCGACGCTCGGCGCCCCATTGTTCCCCGTCGTCGTCGTCGTCGTCGTCCGCGCCCGTCCAAACAGGGGCTGGATGGGAGGAAAAATGGGGGAAAATTCGGCGTGTGGCGTTTCATTATTTTCGCGCGCACTCGCGCCTATTCACGGCGTTATGGCGCGTTGTTGTTTGCCCTTGGGGCTGTGTGAGTCGCGCAGCAGGAGAAATACGCGCGGATAAAGGCTGCTGCACCGGCACCTGCAGCAGCTGCAATGCGCTGCCGTGATAAGGCGACGACAGGTGCTAATCACTCTATACCTCTCCCCTCGTACCTCCCCCGCCTGCTCGCCAAGTCCTTTCCGGCTGGGTCTCATACATCGCAAAATGCGCCATGATACAGTGCACCCGTGCACCCGCTGAAAAATGCCGGGGGCCGGGACGTAAAAACTCGCCGGGGATATTACCGCAGCACGTGGTGGAAGGACTTTGTGGACTGTATATGTGGACTGCTTCCCCGGTCACCGTCGTCAGCTCACTCACTCCTACATCGTCGTGGATTATTCTAAAGTCTACGCGTGTCGTAGAAAGAAATGTGCGAGAAATACTCCGTACAATGTTCCCCTCCGATGGTTCGACTCTCTCGCTCTGAAGGGAAACTGTCCTTCTCTCTCGCACGTTTATCCCTAACGTCGCGATGCCTTCAGCCATTGTCGCGCGAGCAGCGACGGCGGCAACCAGCAGCAGCAGCGCTGGGTCCCAGAGAGAGCCAGGCCGCTGTGTACGAATCCAGCGCCCGAGCAGCAGCAACAGTATGTGAGTTTGAAAACTTCCGCTGGCGAGCCGAGAGCCGGCCCGCGCGCGGCAGCAGCAGTACGCCGCCGTGCCAGGCAAGGCGAACGCCGCCGTCGCCATCAACTTACGGATTTGCCGTGTCAAAACTTTTATTGCGCTGGATCTGAGCAGCAGCAGCAGCAGGCGCGCGCGGGGGGTACAGGGGACAGAGGGGCCTTGTAGTTTCTCCGTGAGTGCAGCGCCGGGCGGCGCCGGGACGGCGGGGAGTGTATGCTAAAGTAAGGAGCGCCGTGATGGAGGATGGCGGGGGCAGAGGGGGCGGGCAAGTGTAACATTGGCAGCAGCAGCAGCAGCTCAGACAGCACCAGCTCCAGTACCCGCAGCAGCACCCACTGCAACAGCAGCAAGTCGCGACCTCCACATTTTTCCGTCGCGGACGTCCCTAACGCCGCCGCACCTGGGTGGCTGACTGCTCGCGGGGCGGCAGAGCGAGTAACGTAATCAGAGACACGACGACGATGGCGGCAGCGGGGCGCGGCAGCAGCAGCGGGGCGCGGGGCAGTGGAGCGCCCCCGGCCCGCCCTGCATATTCATGTTGACATTGCCGCGGAGCGTCGGACACGTCGCAAAAGCGCTGTCGATGACGGAGGCCCGTGGTTGGCGCAGAGCAAAAATTAAACAGCCCCGTTAACAAAAATGATAAGGTCCGACAAACAACGGAGTACATCAAAGCAGATGCGAATAGTCATAGCGAATGCTCTCATTTGCCCAGAAGTACTACCAACACTTGAAAAAAATCCTAAAAACAATATCGCTAGGCGATTTCTATCGGCGCAGCAGGCAGGCACCATTCAAACCACGGATGACCGATGGCGCCTGGGGCGGAAGCGGTTCGCCCTCCATAAGGCGCCCCTATCGCCCCCTCCACCCTCCACAGCGCGCTGCTGCGCTTATCGTCTTTTCATTTTATTATCCGCCACTCCGTCCACAAATCAAGCGACTGCTGCTGAGGTGTGCTGCGTGGCTATGAGCTACCCGGCCCGCCCGCTGTCGCATGTAGTACAGCTCGGTGTCCGCAGGGTGTCCGACACGATTATGTATATCGCCAGCAGGTGGTACCCGCACCGCGCCCTGCAGCAGCAGCTCCCCCGCGGGAGGTTCTTAGGTTCTTACCGGCTGCAGGGCCGGGCCCCGGGGCCCCTTATCAGCAATGTCACTTCGCCATTTTCAGAATCCTCCCGCCACCTGAGCCACCTGCGGCCCGGCAGGTTGTGGGGAGGGGCAGGGGGTGCTCCTGCGTGTCTCCCCCCCTGGGGGGTCGGCTGCTGCCGCCGCCGTGGCCGTGCAGCAGCAGCGCGCACACCTTCGTCGTGCTCTATCTGACGCAAAAAGTAACACCCCGAACAACAAAGCCAGCAGGTGCCTTGCGGGCCGCCTCCTCTAAGTCCCCCCGGGAGCGCATAGCAATATGTCCCGCCGTAATTTATTTATTTTTTCGCATAGCTCAGATAAAAGGGAAATTAAATCGCCGAGGGGAGGGTCAGTGTTGCCCCCCTCCCTCGCCCACTCGCGGGATATTGCCTGCTGGCCGCCGCGCGTTAGTCAAAGGCCACCCATTTCTCCTGCTCCTCCATTTCTTTTTTTTTGTGTTATGATTGCTATTGATTTATTTTCCCTTCCCGGACCCCGGCCGCCGGCTTCCTGACCTAGCCTTTGCCTCCTGCCCTTGCCCTGCCGCTGACATCCCGTTGTGATTTGTTACTGTAACCGTAAGGTCCACCCGCTGCTGTGTGCAAATAGCGGCCCCCGTGAATAGGGGCAGAAAGAGCTCACAGCAGGAAAGAAAAAGAGAAGAAAACGAACGACCGGCCTAACGGAATAAATAGTGAAAACGAAAATAATACGTTCCCGGTCAGCGCTAGGGTTTGCGGCCTCGCCGCGCTTTCAGGTGGGTCATTCAAACGCCATATCGACTGGCCAGCGGCCCAGTGGTCTAGTGCCGCGGCCCCGTTTCGCGCCTGCTGGGGTCGTTCGAGTTCAAGGAGTGAATTTTGGCGCCAGCTGCTGGCGGCCTTTTCTCCCTCTCCGCGGGCCGCTCAAGAGCCCTGGCGTCTGCAGAAGCGGCTGCAGGACGGAGTCCTAGTGGCACCGCGATGCGCGCGCGCTCCGCTAAACGGATCCGCACGACTCGCGGAGCTTCGAATTTCGATAGTATCGAAAAATATCTCATACATCGCACAGTTTAAAGATATTTATCGATTCGATTCGCTTCAATACGTCGATGAAACAGGGTCCCTGTTGGAGCAAATGGGTATACTATCCCGCGCGCATAGGCGTGCTGACGGGTTGCCTATTCGCACGCATTTTCTCGGACAGCGGCCATACCCTGTATAGGGAGCAGGAGAATGTCGAGCTCTCGTTTCCAAGATGATTTAAATCGAGGTATCGAGATGCCGAGATGGCGCTGGCCGCGATGCGTGTGTGATGGTGTGCTGTTTCAACGGTCGGCCAGGCGGCGGCGGCACGTACTTTGCAGGGGCTCTGGCAGCCCCGCCCGCTGCCAGCTGCCGGCCGCCGTGGAGGGCGTGACCCCTCTCTCTCTCCGTAGGCCTCCTTCAGACTCGGTCGCATCAATCACTACTCTCTTTTGCAGTTTCGTACACTCCCACTTGGGCCACTTGGGAAAGTCGGCCTGGCTGGACCCGCTTGTGCGTTTATTGATTCATCCGTATCGGTTTCATTGATTCTCCTGCTTCGCCTGGGGCGAGGCTGGGCGGGGCGGGGCCGGG